GTGGAGGTGAAGTTTGCCCAAAGCAATCGATCATCATCATCATCATCATCATCATCATCATCATCATCATCATCATCATCATCATCATCATCATCATAATCATAATCATCGTCATCATCATCATCATCATCATCATCACCATCACCATCATCATCACCATCATCATCCTTCCTCTACTCCACCTGTCCGTCTCCTCCATCTTGTCGAACTCATCGATGCAGCAGATTCCCTGATCTGCGATCACGAGAGCTCCTCCCTCCAGCATGAGCTCTCCTGTGAATGCATCCTGTAAATATCCATCAGCTTCCCTCAACATCCACCTCCACCTCCACCTCCTCCTCCACCACCAACTCCTCCTCCTCCTCCCCTGCTCCTCTCTTCCTCACCTTCGTGACTGAGGCCGTCAGACCAACCCCTGAGCTTCCCTTGCCAGTCGTGTAGACCCCGCGGGGCGTGAGCTTGGCAACGTGCTTGAGCAACTGACTCTTGGCTACTCCAGGGTCTCCCATGAGACAAACGTGAACGTCTCCACGGATCTGAAGCCCGTCGGCGAGGTTGCGATGGCAGCCGCTAACGAGCTGGAGAAGCAGAGGTCAGCAAGGAAGAGGAAGTGAGTGAAGACTAGGACAAGGGCGACGAGGACGAGGACGAGGACGAGGACGAGGACGAGGACGAGGACGAGGTGATGGTTAGAGGTGGGATGAAGGGGGACAGGAGGGAAAGGGAGAGGACCTGCAGGAGGAGAGTCTTCTTCACATCCTCATGCCCAAAGATCTCAGGGGCGATGCTGTTGGCCAGCTTGGTGTAGGTGCCGCTCTCTGCCAAGGGAGGAAGTAGGGAGTGAAAGAAGGAGCAGGAGGAGCAGAAGCAAGGGGAGGAGCAGGAGCAGGTCAGGTTTTGCACAGCTCAACGCGAGTCGATTACCTTGAGAGTGAAGCAGAATCTGATCTTGCATCTCCTGTGTGAACTCATAGTCTTGATATCTCTGCTTGATCCTAGAGACACTCGTGGCCTCCTACTCGCACAAGTCAGTATCCTATCCCTTCTCCGTCTCCTCCTCCTTCCTCTGTCTCCCTCGTCTCTCCTTCTCTCCTCCCTCTTCCCCCTTCGTTTGTTTCCCGTGTCCCTCACCAGGAAGGTGTCCGCAGTCAGTCCTGCCTTGATCGCTCGGTATCCCGTGTAGGGGATGGGAAGGAAAATTCCCGAGATCTGATCAAGTCCTTTCAGTCTGTAGCAAGAGGAGGACGAGGACGAGGACGATGAAGAGGAAGGGGACGAGGAAGAGGGAGGACGATGCAGTGGGAGGGAGCAGGATGAAGTGGAGGAGGAGGAGGAGGAGGAGGAGGAGGAGGAGGAGGAGGAAGCAAGAGGGAGGGAGAGGTACCTGAACTTCATCACCAGGGGAGCAGCTTCTGGTGCTCTCTCCGGTGAGGTGGACGGTCATCATGCGAGGAATGTGTCCGGTTGGAACTTGATCAGGCTGGAGGAAGTCAGAGAGCTGGGTATGGAGAGGAGGATAGGGAGCGTACAAGCTCTTGGATCTTGATCTCCTGGAACTTGACGAACTTCGATCCCCTTGTCTGCATCCCTTGGATCAGTCCCCTTCATTGCCATCTCCCCTCCACTCTTCCTCCTTCTCCTCTTGCCCTTCTCCTCCCTCTCCCTTTCCTCACCTGCATGAGGAGCTTGCTGTTGCTGTTGAACTGCTGGCATTGCGGGCTCTTGCACTTGTCCAGCGGGTAGAACGATCTTCCCGTCACCTCCTGATAGGCCTCCCACCCGCACTCCTCGCACGTGTACGTCACAACCTTGGCTAGCGGCTGCGACAGAATCTGTCATCGTCCACCAGGAAGCAGAAACGGAGACAAGGAGAGGCCAGAGGAAGAGGAACAAGAAAGCAGGAGAGGTAGCAGGCGGTGGAATGGGAGGGGTGGGGGTGAGGATGGTGCAGCAGATGCATAGCAGGTAGCAAGGATGTGACGGTCAAAGGAACGACAGACTTGAGGGTGTGGGAGGAGCAGGAGGAGCGTGAGTAGCAGGAGGAGGAGGAGGAGCGGGTGTAGCAGGAGGAGAAAGCTTCAGGGAGGAGGAAGCTTCACCTTGACGTCGGAGCATCGAGCAACCATGGCTCTGATCGAGACGAGCTGCCCGATGTGGTTCGCTTTGACAGTCCTCAACGACATGAACTTGTCCTTGGACCCGGGGAGCAAGCGGATCTCGCTGCGCAAGTCAACGTCAACAAGAGAGGAGAGGGTGGGGAGGAGACGAGGAAGAAGAACACAGAGCAGAGGGCAAGAGAATGAGGGGAGAGGGGAGGATCACTGCAATCCTCCGCTGGTTCAGGGAGATTCTTGCTACTCACTAGCGCCGTTTCAGCTCGAGGGGAATCTCCGTCTCCTGGGCCCGCTGCGCCTCCTCCTGCCCGTTCCTCACTTGCATTCTCTGCTGGAGCAGGACATCCAAGACATCCTCCTCCTCGAGCTTCCCAGGTCAAGTCAGCCCCCAGCCCACTGAGCGCATCAACAAGCAAGAGAGCCACCTGTCCATCGGGCTCTGGCATGCACTGGTCGATGGCCTGTCCCAGCAGCGAGAGGTACCTCCTGGTGTTCATGCGCAGGGAGCTGGAAAGATCTTCGTCCATGTCCTCCAGGTCGTCGAGCGAGATCTCCACAACTCTCCTGGAGCGGTTTGCAACCTTTTGCTGCAGTCCATGCCATCAGAGGCGCGGAGATGTCAGGTTCAAGGGTCTCACCAACTGCTGCATGTACTTGAGCTCGCCATTCTGTTCGAACTCCTCGATGAACTTCTTCAACTTGACTGCGGGTGCTCTCAGATCCTTCCACATCACGGTGAAGCATGTCTATGTTGAAAGCAATGCTGCTTGTTCGTCTCGCCACAAGACCAATCAAGATGCAAACACAAGGCAGATACACTACCGTCTCTTGTCTACATGAGCTCAACAGCTACAGCATTGTACAGCACACGTGAAGCACGATAACAAACAACGTCAACAATGTTGACCATGCCGGATTGAAGGCACAACATGAGATCAGGACAGAGAAGAAACAACTCGACAAGAGGAGATCAAGGGGGAGTCTGGTCATGGTTCATTCAGGCCATGTCGGCTGATCATGGTTCGTTCAGGCCATGTCGTCTTACTTGCTTCCTCGTCGTAGCTCAAAGGCGGCATGGCGGCAGCGTGGACGAGCAATGAGCCTCCGAAGGGAATGGGTGAGTTCCACAGGGTAGGTGGTTGCGTATTTTGAAGGTAGGGGTACTTGATGACTGTATGAAGGTGGGGTATGTTTGTGCTTAGTTGAACGGGTACATAATCCACCTTGTTTGACAGTAGGGGGTACTGGACGATTTGGGGGGTAGGGGGGTAGTCGTTTGTGGACGGGCAAAGACCTTCCTTATCGGGAAAGCAGAGGCGGCAGAGCAAATTACCGGCGGGTAGTACTGGACCTCATCCCCGCTCAACCGGGAGTCACCAGCCAACCTTGCCGGGCCCGGCCGCGCGCGCGTAGCGGGCCGCGGCCCGCCGTCGATGGTCACCAGTCCGGTTGAAGGCTGAGAGCAGGCCGCACGGTGCCACGGTGCGACCGTCGGACGGCCTCGGCGCCTTGGGGCCGCGCCACATAAGCGGCAGTCCGATCCGACTCGTGACACGGTCCAACGGTCACCGTGGCACCGGGTCAAGGGCAGTGGCAGTCACCCGATCGTGCCACGGTGCCCTACCGCAGTGATCGGACGGTGAGGCCACTGCCGTGACCCGCCGGCGCTGACGGTACGGCGGGTCCGTCCGACTGGGATCATCCGGATTGCCGTGCCACCGTCGGTGACTCACCGGTGTCGGACTCCGGAGTCAGCCTCGAGTCAGCAGCCTCCGGTTGGCAGCCCGGCCCGGCCGGTGGGTCCACTGCCCGGATAGCCCGGCCATCCCCGGCCGCCGGCGGCCCGGCGGCGGTCGGGCCCCCGGACTACCCTACGGGCCCTCATTCCGGATGAAGGACTCCGGGAGAATGACCCCCTCGTGGGCCTCAAAGCCGCTCTCCTACCCTACCCTCCACCCCCCGTGCTCGACGCTTTAGGACCTGACATCTTTTGAGGAGGGCATGGAGAGGAGGGGGGTACTATGAGGTGACCCAGGGGGTAGAATCTGGTAAATTCATGGGGTGGGTGGTAGTCGCTCCTCAGCTCCACCCAGGAGCTCATGGAAGGTTCAATAGAACACCCAGGGGGTGGGGTGACAATCAAGGGGGTATTAGTCTGATCCCACCATGAAGCAGGGGTACTTTTGATAGCAAAGACCCTGAGGAGGTCATGGGTGGGGTATTTTTGTATGGATGGGGTACAGGCTGAGGGGGTGGGACATTTGAACTTGCAGTAGGGGGTAGGAACCACACTAGGGGGTGGTGACTCGGTTCGCCTCAGAGGGGAATGTAAGTCACGTGATCCAACAAGCATGTCACATGTAATAGTCACGTGATCTCAAATCTATAGTGATTGTATCTCACGTGACATTTCCTACTATGCTCGACCCCTCACGTGACATCAGGTGAGGGGGATCACGTGGTCTTCCTTTTTCTGACGTGAAATCCTCCTCCCCACCACCTTCGCCTCCGTCGCCACCCTCCGCCATGCTCCGCGCTGCCCTCCTCCTCGCGCTCGTAGCCGCCGCCGCCGCCTTCACGGCCCCTCACTCTGCTGGCCTTCGCCTCAGATCCGCTACCCCAGGTGGGAACCTGCTCTTTTCTGTGTCTCTAGCCGCTTTTCTTGTTGTGGGGTCCAGGAACAGCCTGGTGCATTTGCGCTAGTTGCAGCAGTGCAGTATGGCAGTTTAGAGTTCCTCTGGTGTATGTGAGAGGTTGAGACTAAGTCCCCTGATTCAATGCTGTTGTACGGCCGAAATAAGACGTATGTGGGACTGTTTTGTACCACATCGCATGAATTTCATGTCACGACTGTTCGTTGCAAGACTTGCAAAGTTGTTGATTCTGTTCGTCTTATCCGTCTTGTTTTTCTTGTGTGGGTTGTTTACAATTACCTGATCTAATATCGTTGTCGTCCAGCCATGAGCATGAAGGCTGATTCCAATATCCGCATTCCCGAGGGTGTGAAGAAGGCTCTCGCCCCCGCCATCGCCTTTGCTGGCGCTGCTGCCCCTGCCTTCGCTGAGGGAACCGGCGAGGTCAGACCTCAGCAGATGCTCTGACTTGATTCTGACAAGGACATGCAGGCCCTCGGAGTCGATGATGGCAAGCTCTTGATCCCCATCATCGTTGTCCCCCTCTTCGTTTTCTTGCTCTTCCAGGGATTTGCTGCTAACCAGGACAACGAGGACTTCTTTGACACCTATGACCAGCGCCGCCGGTAAACTTGTCGAGTTTCAACACGTCAAGTCAGCAGATGTGTGATGTGTGATTCTTTCAAGTAAAGCTATTGTTTCTTTGTTGACTTGAAATGTAAAAATTCGAAAAAAACAAAAAACACGAAATGAATCAGTACACGAGGCGCTTGGAGTTTGGCTCGCTCACACATACACACTTATGTTTAAGGTATGAGGCTTTATCCTAGTCAACGATATTTACATTATGAGCAGCAGAGAGAGAGGAGATATCCTCAGCTCGGGCTAAAACTTGTCCATGTCATCCTTGACTTCACCTGGCAGAGGTTTGAATCTGCGCAGGTATATCAGGAGATCACAATCGGGCAGATCAGTGTTTACCCCGGTAGCAGCTTCACCATGCCGAGCACCTGAGCAAGCATCATCACGTCATCGCCCACAACCTTCGACATGTCACCGCTTGGAGCAATCCCGACGCCAGGGATGTGAAGGGCAAGGAGGGTGCGCGCTCAATTGTGTAGAGTTTGGTGCTCTCGATCCTGACAGAGCGAAGATGAGACATGCTCTCATGCGGCAGAGAAGCTTCTCACCCTGGTGCCGTGTACTTGGGTCGATCATCAGCGATGGAATTCGTCGACGACAACCGCTTCCTGTAGCTCGTGGAAGTGGGAACTGGGACATCCTGCATGCGGATAGCGGTCATCAAGAACAGCACAGCTCCTCATCCTCATCCTCACATCCATCCAATTCGGGCCCAGCGTCTTGCATCGAAGGCTGTGATACTTGTTTGCGTTTGTTCGGACCGCTGCGAGCATAGGAGGAACCTTTCCAGCAGTCAACAACCAGTCCATGCAACGGCGTGTCTCTCGCACCTCCTTCTTGATCTTGCCCTGCACAAGCTGGATGGGGAGGATGGGGAGTGGGAGAGCTTCGACGGAGTACTCGAGGTACGCCCTGCTGATGGCTTCACCGCCAGCAGATACACAGGAGCATAGAAAAGCCCTCACCTGCCATCCTTGCAGCTGGTGATTGAGTAGATGCCTTCGAACTCGATGAACTCCCTGGACTCTACCTTGGAGAACTTGAGGCGCTGGAATGGTTCTTCTGTGACCTCCAAGACGATCCTCGTCGTTATCCTCAGGGTCGGCGATATCACTCCGACCTGTTCGATCCGAACTCTCCCATTGGGCTGCAGGATAGCTCCTGCAACAAGCACGCCAAAGCCGTCAGGATGTGACGACAGGAGCAGCATGAGTTAGCTCACCAGATTCTGCGATGTTCGGAATGTACTCGTGCAAGTTGTTGTAGTTGGTAAGAACGTCCCAGATCGCTCTCGGAGGCGCTTCAATGAACAGCCCTCCGCTGATTCGCCGCCTACTGCCGCCCAGGCCCTCGAGCTTGATGTTGATGTCAACGCCGTCCACGTTCTTGACCTCCTTCAGAATCAGCTCAGCTGGTCTGTACATATCGAGCGCTGAATGGACTTGAAGAGTGTCGCCTCGTGAACGTTTTGCACGCACTTTCCTCCTGTTCGATGATTCGACGGCAAGCTTTCCTGCAACCTCTCCCAGTCGAGGTGCATGAGTGGCAAAGCAAGCGGTTGATGTCTCTTGTCGCAAACAAAGACAGGATACAGAGTGTTCACCCACGAGGATGAAGAGGATTGCGATGAGGAAGGGAGCGCGGCATTTTGACAAAAATAGATTTTCAGTTCCAGACCATAAACGCAAACCATTCAAGCTCCATGAGGATTTCCCCGAGGATATTGCCACAGCAGGAGAAAATTCAACGTCTTGAACAAAGTTTGTGGTCCGAAAGGACGAGATCAGGTCCCTCAGAGATGATGGGGACGAGGGGACGGAGATGTTGGTATCACTTAGCACGCAACGGGAGTCGGCTACATGGCAACAAGGGGAGAGGGCAGAGGTGGAGCAGGAGGAAGCATCAGTGGGAGATGGACAGAGAGAGGAGGAGCGAGGGGAAGGCGAGGAGGTGGCAAGAAACTCTCCATCCTCCCTCCTGCTTCTTGCGCGTCTCCTCCTGTCAGCCATGGCGGCCAGAGGGTACCCCGTCTGGTAAGAGGGTAGTCTGAACCTTCGGGGGTCATGGTGACAACATACCCCTTATCTGCTAAGAGACATCGCTATTAAACTAGGGGTTCAATCCAAATATACAAATTGTGTCGCCAGGTGGGTTGTTGTCAGAAGGGGGTAGGGTGGATCCCCGCAAGTCATAAGGCTCGAAACCACATCCCCGCTCACTAGAAAAACCGCAAACTTAGTCAAACTCAGTGACTGACCCGGAGCCTCACAGTCTCGGACGGTCAGTCAGAGTCCGACCCGGAGGCTCCCGGGCTCGGAGTCAGTGCGACCGGCCCGGTCGAGCCGACCGAGTCAAGGGCAGTGACTCGTCCAATATCCGATCGGTAACTGTTGGCAGCTTTTCAAAGTTTCAATCAAGTTCATGGCGGCCTTAGGGCGGCCGCCTTTCTCAGTTCCCCAGCTACTTGGCTTCAGCCTTCTCTTCCTCTGCGGCAGCCTCCGAGTTTGCGGCTTGCCCCTCGCATGGAGGAAGCACGAAGCCCCAGCGGTTGAGAGGTTTGTTCCCGCAAAGCTGTTAGTGTGTCAGAGTCAGGTGGGGAGAGAGAGAGCAACTTGGCAAGGGAGGAGGGGGGTGAAGGTTGACTGGGAGGACAGGGTGCAGCCAACGGAGGACAAAGAGAGTTGGCAGGAAGGTTCACCTTGGGGGAGTAGTTAATCGCAACCTCGTATCCTCTCTGTAGACCCTCGTCCGCTGCTGTCACGATTATCTGTCATTTAGGTCAGATCAAGCTCGCCTTGCTCCTCCCTTTCGCCGACTGTTGCTGCCTGAGCGTGCTAGCTGGTCTCCTCCTCTCCTCCCCACTCCTCTCCCCCTCCCCTCCCCTCAGATCTCCCTACCGTCCCGTCCGTCTTCTGCTTCATCTTGCACGCCAAGCTTGAATTCGAGTCGTGATTCATCATGTCGACAACGGGAACAAGAACCTGCACGGCAGTCAGACAAAGAGAGTCATGAGCGGGGAGAAAGGCAGGGGGGGGGGAGCAGAGCAGAGAGGATGGGGAGGGCAGGGAGGGGGAAGCAGAGCAGAGAGGAGGGGGAGGGCAGGAGGCAGGAGAAGAGCAGGAGCTCACCGGCGCCACGTGCGCATCAGATTTGCCAGACTTGAGGGCCTCGAGGACGTTGGCAACGTCGAGGACCTCGGGGTCAGCGAGGCTCCAGGAGTAGCCCAGCACGCCCCCCGTCCTCTTCATGGCGATGGAGCGAGAGACGACGATACTGAGGGCCCAGGCCCACTTGGACTTGGTGAAGCGATCCTCCGGGAAGACTTGAGGATACTTGAGGATGAGCGGGGCGATGGTGGAGTTGTAGCTGAGAGACGTGTACTCCAAGAGCATCTGCAGCAACTTCAGGCTCCCTCCGTCCTCTTGCTGTCCTCCTCCCCTCCCCCCCTCCCTCCCTTCTCGTGAAAGGCATAGCATACGAGCTGCGCGCAGGAGTTTCCTAGCAACACGCACCTTCCTCTCCTCGACGACCTCCGGCATCCGCATGAAGTCAGCAGGGATGTCAGCGTCGCTCCACATGAAGGGGAGGGGCATGTAGAGCGGAAGGGAGCACAGATACTTCCTCCAGGCGCTGCACGTCGACGTCAGTGCGGGTTGAGGGCACGCCGGAGCGCAGGCAGGGGACCTCGTCTCCTTGTTCGCTTCGTGCAGGAGGAGGATCATGAGCCCGGTGAAGCTGTCGATACTCTTCTCCTCGCCGAAGATCTTGGGTGGAGCAGTGAGGAGGGAGCGAGGGAGGTGAAGACAAAACTCTCCACCTTGGACAGCTCGGGGACGTCTTTGACGGACCAGATGCTCAAGAAGCTGCTGGCGGGAACCTGCCGAAGATACTCAGCTTGAGGCAGTGGAGGGACGAGGGAGGGAGACAGTGAGGGAATTGGTCACAAAGGAGGAAGAGGAGGAAGGGAGGGAGGGAGGAAGAGGAGGGCAGCAGGATCCAGGGCAACGGTGAGGGCAAGGAAAAGGGTCCACCTCCACGATAACGTCGTCCGACTTCATTTCCTGTAGGACAGCAACTCCCCTTCCCCTACCGTCCGCCTGGTCGACCGTCTTAGCCGCATTCGGCCTCTGCTTCCTTCACCTGGGACTGGTCGAAATCGAAGTCCGCTATCATGATCCCGTCCGCCTGGAGTAGAACATCGTGAGACAAACCTGATTCAACTCCCTGCTCCCCTCCTCCACCACCATCACGTACTAATCCTCCGTCTCCCACCTTCTCGTTCATGACGACCTTCCCACCCTTCTCCTTGATGAAGCTGACGCTCTCCTGCGCCCGGGCGATCAGGACGGAAGGCCCGGGAGGCCTTGTTACTCACATCCACATTGCAGAGCGAGATGTTGGCAATCGGGTTCTGAGCCTCGGCCTCGCTGACGAGCGTGGAGAGTGCGATTATGTCGGGAGCTGTTGCCCAAGGAAACCTCAGCTGGGGGTGTGGGCAGCGGGAGAGAGGCACCTGAGAGCATCTGGTTCGTCACGATCTCCATCATCTTCTGGCGAGCGTACGCCAGGTTGCCGTACTGGATGGCTCGCTCGATCTGCCACATCAGCAATGTGAGGGAAACTTCAAGGCACCCGCCGCCATGGCGTGAGACCTCGTTGACGATCTCGTGGCTCTCCAGTCCCCTCTCCTGCTCTGCTGTCAGCTCCGGCTCCAAGGAGCACAAGGGAGCAGAACCTTCACGTTGCGATGTTTGACGTTCAGATCGTCGTAGAAGTCGTCCAGCCGGAAGGTGGCGAGGGGAGCTTTCGACAGGTCAAAGTGCTTCTCGATTTCCAGGCCCCTGAGAGAGACCGTAAGAGGTACAAGAGGAGGGGAAGGAGCTGTTAGGAGACGATGACGAGGAAGAGAAGGGGTTTTGAGGAGAGGAGCAAGAGGAGGGGAAGGGGGAGCGGAGCCTACAGGGACACGTAGCAGACGATTGTGAAGAGCACGGCCACCACAAAGATCATGACTCCCAGAGCGACAGCGACTGTGTCTACTCCTTTGAGGAACTGGAAGACCTAAGTGGACGGTCAGCAGATCCCACGGCCTGCTGCGGACGGGCAACCCACCCCCTCTCCCTTCTCCGAAGTGTCGTCGTCCCCCTCATCGCTCTCTGCACCCGATTTGTCAAGGACGGCGGTCGAAACAGCTCTCAGCCCGCACCCCTCGCTCGTCGTCCTCGAGTCAGCCGGTTGTTTGCCTTCCCCATGACGCCCAGACTCTTAGTAGCTCAAAGAATGAACCGAGCTGCAGGATGCAAATTAGCAGATCTACTAAAATGGAGGTGTGGTTGGGGGGGGGGCGGGAAGCAAGGAGAGGGTGTATGGAGTGCGGAAAGAATATGCTATTGGTGGAGAGGCAGGACTACAAGGGAAAGACCGAGCGAGTGAAACGAGGAGAAGATCATGGAAGAGTAACACCCTTCAGCCAAGGGATGTTCAACGACAGTCGGTGATGGGAGGAGGATAATGTAAGGGAGAAGAGGCAAGTACAAAGATGATAAAGAGGAAAGGGGATAATGGCGATCGGAGAAAGAATACTCGCAGAAAGAGGAAGGAGGGGGGCGGAGGAGAATGTGGGTAGGTGAGGGGGACAGCAGGGTTCAGGATGGATCAGGTGGAGGAAGGATGAAAGGGAAGAGATTGGAAGTATGGAGGGAAAGGGCAGGAGGAAGGAAGATGGAGGGGTGGATAATGGGAGGGAAGGAGGGGGTGGAGGTTGAGGGTGGGAGGGAAGGAGGAGGAAGGGGTCGATGATGGGAGCGGAGGAGGGGGTGGGGGTTGAGGATGGGAGGGGAGGAGGAGGAAGGGGTGGACGATGGGAGGGAAGGAGGGGGTTGGGAGTGTACGATGAGAGGGAAGGATGGGGGTGGGGTGGACGATGAGAGGGAAGGAGGGGGTGGGGGTGGGTCTTCTGCTGGATCCTCACCTCACTGACGCTCAGATCGCTTGCATGCCACGCGAGCGAACAGCGAGGCCGAAACAGGGTAAGAGTGGGGATGAGGGCTCTCGGCCCGCTGGACCGTCACACACTCACTGCCAGGCTGGTCACTCACCGTCACCGTGGCACTGTCCCGGGCCCGGTGGAATCGCCGGGCGCGGCCGGCTTGAAACGGCTGTCCCCTGGCCGGGCAACTTCAAGCATCAATCCGAGTGAGATATCAGACTGTCTGGCCGCGGGCACTTGCCCCGGCCCGGGCCTGGCCCGGCTGTCACCGGGCCTCAGTGGTACACTTTGGCCGCCGTGCTGTGAGTGCCGCAGTGTGCTCACATTTCTATTTTCAACTCTGAGGCGGGTTCAATGCCCCGTCATTGCACTCAGAGGGGGTTGGGGTACTTGAATGGGAGGTTATGGGCGGAACGAGGGGTCACAAATATATACTTGTACCCCTACTATATACTGATATTATTTCTAAAAAGATATGGTGGGTAGTCTTTGAGACTGGGTACAGCCAAAGTGAATTCGATATTGAGGGGTAGGGTAGTCTTGTGATGGGACGGGTGGGGGTAGTGTTTGCGATGATGGCGAAATTTTGTCCAGGGGAGTGATGAAGAGGCACCTTCAGGAGGAGGAGAGGAGAGGTTGAAGGAGGAGAGGACAAGATAAACGGAGCAATGGATATGAAGAGACCAGGCTCAAAACTTAAGAGAGAAGTCCTGTATCGTTCAGATCGGCTTGTTTGAAGGAAGAGCAAGAAGAGCCGGGATTTCTTTTTGATTCTGGTCGGGAAGCCGCCAAAATTGACGACCCTGCCAATCACACGATCATGGCATCTGCAAATACGAGCAGAGTCAGAATCATCACGACGTTCAATCAGTATGAATCAGGTGCTTGTCTTCACAATGCTCGCAGTCTGCCCGCTCAAGTGATTGGACTTTTCCTTCAGCTATGTCGGATACAAACTCTGTGGTTGTGATCCTCTACACTGCACCGGTCTGTCGACTCGTAGCATATTCTTGCTGTTCCCAGGAAATTCTCAACCTGATCTAACATCCATGTGCCTCAGGGTTGCCCCCACTGTAACAGGTTCTTGCCGCAGTACAACTCTATCTCGATCGAGGTACCCCTTGACCTGCCCAAGGGGGAGGAGACTGACTGTCTGTCGCTCCAGTCTGCATGGAACAACATTTCTTTCTACAATGTAAATATCATGAGCGGCGATGGGCTTGGAATAGCGAGGTAAGCTTTCCCTGGCACTGCGAGAATTCTGGGATGACGCCCGGGGCAGGCGCAACAACGTCGGAGGCGTTCCGCATACTTCCTTCTACTCCCGTGCCAAGAAGCTCGGAGACATGAGAGGAGACAGGTGGGAGCGATCGCTGCTGCTATCTGCAGCTCATCGCCATGGTCGGCAGCATCTCGGAGTTTCGCAAGCTCCTTGCCAAGCACTTGCAAGACCGCACCTTCGTTGGAGCAGGTGGCCCGTCGATCGCTCGCTCCTCCCGAGCTCTAGGTCGCCTCCTCACCGTATCCTCCAGGATACGTCTTGGGCTCCAGCGCCAACTCGGAGCCTCCCCGAGCCATGGGGAACTCTCGTGAGGAGAATGCCAAGAAGCTTGAGGTCAGCTGGACAACGACTCGCCTTCGTCTCCCCTCCCTCACCCTGCAGTCTCTCTCCCCTTCTCCCCTCCTTCACCGAGCATCCCTCTATCTTACGTGAGGGAGTGCAGAAGAAATCCGTGCCGGCCCACAAGATCGAGGCCTTGGAGGGGATGGGGTTCGAGCGCAGCAAGGCGATAGGTAGAGCTGCCTCCTTCTTCCTCCCGCCGCAAGTTTGAACCTTTGGTCCAGCTGCGCTGCAGAGGACAGAAGGCGATGTGGACCAGGCAGCTGACATCCTGCTGGGAGGTGGCTCGGCTCAGGTGTTGCCTGCGGGGGGGGGGGATAGGTGGACACTGAAGGAGGGGCAGGACAAAGCTTGGATCGCTGGAGTGTCCATCGACACAGAGGCATCGGACGCTCAGCGAAGGGTTGGAGGAGGAGGAAAGTGTTGTGACTTCCAGTCATTCCTGAGCAGGAGCTGGAGCAGGGAAGGAAGTGCGGTATTGGGCTGGTCGGTACCTTGCTCTTCCCTTTCATCATCTGACCGGAGTCTCCCCACATGATTTTTCTTTTTCGTCCTCTTCCTCCTGCTCTTCCTCATTCTTCTGCTCTTCATTGTCCTCCTACTCTCCGCTGCTCTTCTGCTCGCTCTCTTGTCAGGGCCTCGTTGATCACTGGGACAACACTGGGCCCAGAGTCTCAGACGTGGTCCCCTACTCGCCTTCAGGTCGTTGAAGTGATGAAGAGTTTTCCGCCTCCATGACAGTCTCGCAGCTGAAGCAAAGATTTTCAACAAGGGAGACAAGATTGTTGCGATTGATGGTGAATCCGCAGGATGGGAGGGGGTGAGGGGAAAGGTGGAAAGGAGAGGACACTGATACAGGGATGGGAGAACGGAAGGAAAGAAAGTGGAGGAGGGTAAGGAGGATCTGACTTGTCGCTCAAGGGGTGGACGTGCGGGGATTTCGAGTCGACCAGCTCAAGAATCTGATCCTTGGGGCTCCGGGCACGCAAGTGGAGATCTCCTTCGTGTAAGGCTGTCTGCTTCTTCTGACCGCTACCCCCCCCCCCCACCTCGCGTCCTCTGGTGAGTTGCAAGGCAGGCCTGTCTCGCACCTACGCTGGGGAGGAGGACTGCTAGGAGGAAACGATTCGAAGGATATCGTGAAGGTTTGTACCGATGAAAGTGTGGGAGGAGGAGGAGGAGGAGGAGGAGGAGGAGGAAGGGAGTTGACCGGAAGAGGAATTGATAACTGCTTCCATAGGTCATTTTGACCCGAGAGGTCAGGCTGGATACATGCCTGGCAGGTCGCATGAGGGGAAACAGACTGATTGTTTGCTGAGAGTGGCTGCAGGAGCGAGAGGAAAGGACGTGAAGACCCAGACGATGAAGAAGAGGGAGGAGCCGGCGTCAGCGAAGCCGGCATGGTACTCGACAGGTTGAGAGTGCGGCACGAGAGCCATCGGCTTCTCATTCCCTTCCTCTCAGTCTGGCAGGACATCAAATCCGGCTCTGAGCGGATGAGCAAAAGTAGCTGCTCCTTGCTGTGCGGCCCCTGGCTCACGCCTCCTCCTCCCTACAGACCTGGAGAATGGCTTCAAGTCAGCTGGGGACAAGATCGAGGAGGCAGGCAGCGCCATCGGAAAGTCAGCCTCGGTGCTGCTGATGGATCGGAGGAGGTGGTGCAGGAGACGAGGAGACTGACCGATGGTCCAGAATGGATGGGAGAAAACCTCCAAAGGAGCCAAAGAGGTAGCGAAGTCCATCAACGAATCGACGGCTTCTGCAAGCGAGACCATGACGGAGGCGGGAGAGAAAGTGAGATCGAGATGCCCCTCACCCGTTCCTCCTTCCCTTTTTTTTTTGCCTTTCATGCCTTCGCCCTCCACCCTCTCTTCGCTGATGACTTCGAGCTTCGAGCTGCTGCCATTCAGCACTGACCCCGACACAGATCAAGGAGGCCGTCGTCGTCGACACAGCCGCTCGCAAGAGGATCGCAGGTTCAGGGAGTGACGCCGAATGTTGATCCTGCTGAAGTTGAGACGGCAGAACTCGAGGAGGAGAACAGACTTCTCAGAGAAAGGTTGTCGTCCTTCTCCCTGCTCCCTCCACTTCTCACCTCTCTCTCCTTGCCAGGCTCAATCAAGCTGCTTCGAGCGGTTCCAACACGCCGAGCGCCAAGTAGGTCTCCCTTACCTCCTGGCCTCGAGTCTGACGTCTGCCTTGCACCTTTCAGGTCCGACGGCTCAAGGAGAGGTGAGGGCAGCGCTGCGGGGGGGAAGGGACTTTGATTCTCCTCAGAAGCTTCGTTCCGATTCGACGAGGACGCAAAGTCGAACACACCACGAGGTCTTGTTGGATTGATCACCCTGGAAACACGCCCTTCCTCTCCCCCTCCTCTCCCCCCCTCCATGCGTTCCTCCCCTCCATCCTCCTTCCCCTCTCCCCCGATCTTCTTCTCTTCGCTCTCCTTGTGCTCCTTGCCCTGACTGCTTCATCAGGCGATGGATGCCAGGAAGGAGAGTCAACGGACATCCGCAGCTTCGCAGCTGAGTCCTTCTCCACTGCCAAGTCGCCTAACGTAAGAGGAGGGAGGAGGAGGACGAGGAGGAAGTGCCTGAATGTTGGCAGGTACCCGAGTGCTCTATCAGAGTGAGGATGACTGACGGAACGGTTATCGAGAAGAGCTTTCCCTCGTCCACGAAGCTCAAGAAGGTTAGGGTTCTGATCCCCTCCTCCCTCCTCTTCCTCACGTATCTTCTCCCGTCGCCCTGCCTCCTTGTAACGTTTCACTTCCCATCCTCCCACCCGCTTCTTCCTCGTCCTCCCTCATTGTAACTTATCTCTTCCCATCCTCCCACCGTCTTCCTCGTCCTCCCTCCTTGTAACTTATCTCTTTCCTGCCTTCCTCCTCCCTCCTGCTCTCTCCTCCTCCCTCCTCCTCATGTTGCTGCAGGTGGTTGAGAGCGTTCTGCCCTCGGACGACCTGCGCGAGGAGTGGACTCTGATGCTCCCGTGGCCTCCGATGTCGCCAAGAGACTTTCCTGACCTGCTCCTCAGGTACCCGAGGAAGATATTCGGCGACGAGGACCTCGACAAGACCCTTCTCGAAGCTTCGCTGGTGCCCTGCAGCTGATCTCGCTTCCTCTGTGATCCCTCAGGCAGGCACCTGCTGCTACCATGAACGTCACCAAACGGAGATGATGATGATGTGGTCGGGTCGATCAGGATATGGACAGCGAGATGAAACTGAGACAGTGGTAACGGTGCGACTTGTCTCTAATGAATCCTATCAAGTTTCCCCCTCACAAGTCACCTGTGGAACTTCAGTCAACGTCACTCAGTCCGACGAATCCCCACCTATCCCCAAGTTCTTCCTGAGCTGATTGGCGACAGAGATCAGGTTGTCCCTCTCCAGCCTCCCTCGTATCCCCATCTGCCATAGGAAAGCTTCAACATCCCTCACCGCAGCTTCCAGCAGACCTCATGTAAGTCTTGAGCTCCTAGCCGGATCAAGCCGCTCCCATCCAGCTCCTGCGTCCCCCTCCCTCGTCACTCCTCCTCAACGATCCCGACTGTCTCACCTGCTTGTACAAGGCGTGCAGAGTCCCGGGCTGGACGCACTCAGGCCCCAGCTGCTGCCACAAGAACTCGTGGACCTTGCGGGGGGGCCAGCACCCAACGTCAAGTTCGCGGCTGGCTGCATAGCGGGGAGTTGCCCGCACCTCCTCCTGACCCAAGGAAGAGTCTCTCGTCGCGCGATCGTGCAGGAGCTGAGGGCTCGAGCGACTTTCTCCTCCTCCTCCTGCCGACTTCGCGACCCCCTTCTCGGCGAGTGCCCCTGCCGTCCCTCCAGCCCCCAGGGCCTCCCGTCGGCCGGATGCTCCCCCAGCCAGAACCTCGAGTAGTTAAGGACCAGCTGAGTCTTCACCGCCTCCACCTGCTCAGCGCTCATCCAGTTCTTTGAGGAGAGGATCGGAAGGTTGCGGCCGTACTTGTACCTCAGCAGCGCCTTGAGCGACTCTTGCCTCCCCTCGAAGCGAGCGAGGACCCCGGGGACCTGGACTACCTTGGAGGGGTTGACCTTCTTGTAGAAGACCTCCAGCCTCTGTTTCATGGTCTTTGCATCCTCCTCCTCCTCCTCGACCGACTTTGACCGCCGGAAAGACGTCGAGAGACGAGAACAAGACCCCGGCGACCTTCGCTGAGTCCTGACCGGGGAGCAGGACAGGTTTAGGAGGCTAGGAGACGACGGACTGTGCGCTCTCAGGATCGATCTCTTCTGTGAACTAGCAAGGGAGGAAGATTGATCAAGGGAAGTCTCCAGCAGCTCAACTTTCTTCAAGGAATCTTGTATCAGAATGTCCAAGTCCTCCAACTCCTGCTCGGTCTCCTCCAGCGAAGCGTGGACCCGCGTTTCAAAGCGATCCTGCGCGCTGGTCATTTCATTGTTCAGGTCTATAAATGTTGCCGAGAAATCGTCATAGCTTTCTGACGCGTCCGAGTCCTCGATAGTATCGAGCAGCAGTTCCGATTGCTGTAGGTTTTGGATGTGTTCTTCAATCGACCCCAAGTTCGCCTGAATCCTCATCATGTCACTCTGAGAGTGCGCTTCTTGCCTTGCAGCACTCCTGAATGACATCTGCTCCCTGGCTGTCGTTTCATCCTTCAGGTTCATAGCGTTCGTATGCTCACATGAGGGAGAGCCTAGGCAACAAAAATTTGAATGTTTGATGGGCTAAACGGAGGAAGTTGATTCCAATTTCTCGTCAGTACTTTTGATTCCATTCTCTCGTCCCCTCCCTCACTCCCTCCTCCGCTCGTCCCCTCCCTCACCCTCTCCTCCTCTCGTCCCCTCCCTCCCTCCCTCCCCCAGCACTCTCCCTCCCTCTGTCACCCGCCGCCATTTCGGCATAGTGACGCCACCCTACCCGCCGGCCCTCTTTTTGATTTAAAACAAATATTCTTTTTTCATTTTACAAGATTGCTTACTTTTTATAGCACCACCCTACCCACTATTGATTGAGTCTACTTCGCAACGTACCCCATCCAGAACAACAATTTCATGCTGTGTGATGGGGTACTTTCGTAGTACCCACCCGGCACGTGCTGCTGTAATTCGTGATTTGAGGGGGTACCTCTGAGTACCCCTACCCCATCATAGTTGAGGGTGCCAGGTTTCACCCCTTTCAGTGACCCTACCCCTTGATATTTGAGGTAATATTTCTGTTGTGTCTAATTACCCCTCCATCAAACTGGTTCATTGGGGGTACTTCTACCCCCAAAAGTTCTCAAGCACATCAAGTACCCACCCACCCCACCCCACCCCACCCTCTTTGTCCAATCTCCCTCGCCCTACCCTCCGTTCCACAAGTCTCTTGCCAGCCCCCACTCGCGCCATGGCGATGCTGAGGCTGCTTGTCGGAGTAGCCATGCTGGCGTCCTGTAGCGGCTTCTCCTTCACGTCCACTCCTCTCCGCCTCAGACATGCTGGCAGCAAGAGATCCTACGTGCTCCCCACTCCTTCGAGCAGCCGGAGAGTGCTCAGGACGGCGGCCAGAAGGGACGTGATCGGGCTGAAAGCGACAGGCATTGCAGACCCAGCAAAGATGAAGCCGGGAGCGCCAGCGATTGAAACCCTCGAACTTGAATACTCTGAAGACAATCTGTTCCATGACGGAGAGACCGTCATCGTGAAGAGGTCAGACGGTAAGAACTACTTCGCTCGTGTGGACGTGTCAGCAGAGGATGGCCGGTATTTAGTCTGTGTGGATGAGGAGAAGGGCAAGTACAGGAAGGAGCTGCCGAAGGACATCGGGAAACTTGTTGGTGATGATCATATGAGTGATGAGAAGGCCATTCCTCCTCCAGCCAAGATGGCAGGAGCGTACGTGTCCAACATGGCGCAGTACAACAAGATGTACAGGCAGTCCCTTGACGAGCCGGAGAAGTTCTGGGGGATGATGAGCAAGGACTTCTACTGGAAGGAGATGTGGCACACGCTGAACGAAGTGAACTTTGACTACACCAAAGGCCCTGTGTCGATCAAGTGGTTCTTGGGATCCAAAACGAACCTGGCCTACAACGCGCTCGACCGCCACATCGAGGCTGGCAAGGGCGACAACATCGCCTTTTACTGGGAGGGCAACGACGATGAGAGCAGGGCTTACACTTACAATGAGGTCTACGAGATGGTCTGCAAGTTTGCCAACGTGCTGAAGAGCAAGGGCATCAAGAAGGGAGATACGGTTGCCATCTACCTCCCCATGGTTGTCGAGCTCCCTGTTGCTATGCTTGCCTGCGCCAGGATCGGGGCAGTGCACAGCGTTGTCTTCGGCGGCTTCAGTGCCGATGCCCTTGCTAGTCGCGTCGCTGACTGCAAGGCAAGAGTGCTGGTGACGGCCGATGGTGTGATGCGAGCCAAGAAGTTGGTGAACCTGTTGGACATCGTCGACAACGCGGACAAGATCCTCAAGGCAGACAAGGAGGCCAATCACAAGTTGGATAGCATCATTGTCGTCGAAAGAAACTCAAAAGCAGGTGTGCTTTGCACGTGCGACACACTCGTCTCTCACTCGTTGTCCAGGGCCCTTGAAAGAGCAGCATGAACCCTGGAACAAGCTGATGGCGGGCGCAAGTGCCGATTGCCCAGTCGAGTGGATGGATGCCGAAGATCCCTTGTTCCTCTTGTACACGTCGGGGTCAACAGGAAAGCCCAAGGTATCCGTGTGAAGTCTTTGATCGCCTAAGATCGTTTTGACTTCGCTACAGGGAGTTCTGCACACAACCGCCGGCTATATGGTTTGGTCCGCCACCACCTTCAAGTACGTCTTCGATTACCGTCCTGGAGATGTGTACTGGTGCACAGCAGACTGCGGATGGATCACTGGTGAGCTATAGATGATGGATGATCGAGGCTGGGTAGCTGACTTCCGTTGGGATCAGGTCATTCATACATCACCTATGGCCCGATGATCAACGGGGCCACCCAAGTGCTGTTTGAAGGAGTTCCAACGCATCCGACACCTGCTCGATGCTGGGAGATCATCGACAAGTACAAGGTGAACTTGGTGCGAGGTTCCTCCTTGAGGTCACTCGGTGGCAGGTCAACCAGTTCTACACCGCTCCCACGGCTGTGCGATCCCTTATGAGCTTCGGGGAGCAGTACCCCGAAGGGCACTCTCTAAAGTCTCTCAGAGTCTTGGGGAGTGTCGGCGAGCCCATCAACCCTGAGGTGACTTGGGACAGAGCTGCTGCCTCCCACCTCTTGCCCTCGATCGCGCGTTGACTTGGAGCAGGCATGGAGATGGTACAGCAAGCATGTCGGACGAGGCCAGTGCTCGATCTCCGACACCTGGTGGCAGACGGAGACTGGCGGTCACATGATCACACCGCTGCCTGGAGCAACTCCCCAGAAGCCTGGCTTCGCTACCAAGCCCTTCTTCGGTGTCGAACCTGCCATTTTGGACCCGGACGGCAAGGAACAAGATGGCGCTTGCGCTGGGTATCTTACGATCAAGAGATCCTGGCCGGGCCAGGTGAACGCTCCCTGACGCTCTGAGTCAGCCTCTCACTCGTTGCTATCAGCTGCGCGGCATCTACGGAGACCAGGAAAGGTTCGAGAAGACTTACTTCCAGCTCTTCAACGGGGCCAACGAGATGATCTCCAAGGACAAGTACATCACGGGCGATGCGTGCCGGCGCGACAAGGTCAGCATCGCAGACAGCCCCTGAAGCTGATGGTGACCCACAGGACGGTTACTACTGCATCACCGGCCGCATCGATGACGTCATCAACGTGTCCGGGCATCGTATTGGAACGGCGGAGCTGGAAAGCGCTCTCTCGCAGTTCGAGCATTGTGTGGAAGCGGCGGTCGTCGGGTTTCCCCACCCGATCAAAGGAGAGGCGATCTACGCGTTCGTTACCCTCGAGCAGGGATATGAGATGACGCCGGAGGTCCAGAAGGCGCTGAAGCAGGTGATGCACGCGAGGAGGGAGGAGGGAGGGAGGGAGGGAACAAGCACTCTTGTGTGTAGAACGGGTGACTGTTTATGTCACATCGTTCAAGAGATGAGTGCGACAACATGACAACCGAGCTTACTCCTCGTTGCGATCCCACAAGTGACGCCATGAGAAGCCTCAAGTGTCAAAATATTCTTCCTGCCGCAATCAGCTCCTGTCTCTTTGTGACTTTCTGACATGCCGGACAGGTTGTGAGGTCTGAGATTGGAGCCTTTGCTGCCCCCGACAAGATTCAGTTCGCCCCTGCCTTGCCAAAGGTACAACTCGATCCCATTCAACAGGGTTACCCTTGTGACCTGCTGCCAGACGAGAAGCGGCAAAATCATGCGCAGGATCTTGAGGAGGATCGCCGCCGGTAAAGCAGCAGAGCATGCTCTCCGTTTGTTGCTGATTTGTGCGGCAGGGGTGACGGACGTGTCTGAGTTCGGAGACATCAGCACCATCACCGACCCGAGCATCATCGACGAGCTGCTGGAGAACGCGAAGCATGCTTCATGAACGGACTCAATCATGGACTCGTAGACTCGAAGGTTTTGAAACATTAAGAATGTAAATTAGATTGAGTTGCCGCTTGGTGACTGTCTCAGTGTCACGCGCCGGGCCAACCGGACGAACTTGACACTGAGCACTACAGTGTCGGATCATCATTGGCCACCCGGGCCGGGCGGCGTGACGGAGTGTGCCAGTTGGCCAGTACCGAGCCCGGTCGCGGTCCGACGTCAGTGTACCGCCGTACGGTACCGTACGGTACTTTACTCAAAGTTAAGTACGGTACGGTACGGCACCGTGTCACAGTTTTCAGTCACAGTTTCGGGCTCTTGAAGTTCGCCACCAAAGTTGCTTTTATCTTCAAAGTTTCAAAGTTCAGTGACGGGGCCCGACCATGCGAGGTAGCGGCATGGCGGTGCAGGAGGACGTGCGCGGGCCTCTGGTGTTTCAATGCCGCGAGTGTCTGACCATCATCGGAGACTCCTTCTCCATGGTGTCTGCGGTCGAGAGCCTCGATGCCATCATCCTCTCTGGTACCAGCAAGCAGCTCCCGTGTCCACTGTGTTGACATTTCCATCAGTCGCTGTGCAATGCACAACGGGACGAAGAACGTCGGATGGGCATGGCAGGTCAGCCTCCGCTGTGAGGACGTCAATGTATCTGTGAGCATGCCATGGCAGTATCTACCAAGAGGTCAGGTGCACGTGTGGCAACTTGATAGGACGATGTTTCTTCAAACATCCTCACTCAGAGCAGTATGACATCTTGTAAGTGAGAATCTAGCCATGACCACATGCTCCTCGCTTTCATCGCCCTCTTGTCGTCCTGTGCATCGCTGATCCTGCGTTCAAGGGGCCACTACACCTTGGACAGAACGTCCATCACCAGGCAGAGTCACGAGTGCGAGAGGACGTGGGTAACTTTGACATGATAGTTATGAGCTGGGAAGTGGCAACGACAATCCTCTGGTCCCGCCACTTGGCGATGTCACGACATCGAACAACTCCAATCAAGCCATCGAGAGGTGAGAGAGCGCCCAGATCCTTTCTCTCACTTGACTGTTACGCCCTTCCCTCGCCCTTATCCTCCCTTCAGGATTTTGGAAACAATCCAGGCAGACATCGCAAAGGTACTCGAATGCCATCTTGACTTGTGTGCCGGTATTGTCCGACCATACAATCAGATGAAGGCGATGACTCTCTTGTTCGACGAGCGCTTGTCTAGTGTCGAGGCCGTGTGCAAAGTAGGAGTTGCTCTCCCTCCTTGGCTTCATGTGACTCTGTTGTGGACAGCCTGTAGGCTCGAAAGGAAGTTCAAAACAAGGGGAAGACACGGAGGTGCAGGAAAATCCAAAGAAGAGGCGGAGATAGAACTTTCACGATCGAAGGGGCAACAACAACATGTGATCTTTATTTACAGAGTTTCGAAACATTGTTTCCTAAATTCCATCACAACCTCCACCATATACATGCTACCTCTACATGGCACTTTGATTGCACCTATTCCAAACTGCCACCTATTTCCGGAGCGTCTGAACAGCAGGAACTATTCCTTCTTCAGTATCGGAGTCCATCGCTTTCTTCATCTTGGAATAAATCCTTGCACCTAGATCAACCTGATCGGAGAAAATCTTGACAACCCTTTTTAGATAGTTCACGATCTGATCCTTGGTCACCTCCACCTGCCTGCTCAGCTCTACGCTGTCGCTCTCAGTGACAAATGTCAGGTAGGAAGCAAACACAACGACGACAAGAATGAGGTCGTTGATCAGACTTGCTTGGAAGTCCGTTGTGCTGGTGAATGCGTTGAAACCAATAAAGAGACAAGCGAAGATCAGTGCCATTGTGACCATGTACTTGAGCACTAGGATGCAAATGTGAAAGTATGAGAGGCCATGGGAAGCAAGACACTGCTCAACGTTCTTGGCAATCACTGCCTCAACAATTGGCTTCGGCAGCTTCTTGGCGATGTGTGTAGACTCCGAGGTCATCTGCTTCCAGACCAGTCGCCTCACCCTGTACATCATGATGTACTTCCTTGCTACCATACTGTATGCGACCGTGCAAGATCCGATGACTGCGATTGCGTAGGGCAGCATCAATGAGACGTTGAACAAGATCCCAAGCAGCACGAACACCGTCAACGTCGAGATGCAAGAAAGAGACATAAACCAGATGACGACAAAGACAACTACGAAGAGTTTTTGAATGAGCCTCCTAAAAACATTGAACGAAGTTCGAAGGTAGAACATGCTCAGCTCAAGGCATGCAATCACGAAATATGTGTACGTGAAGATTTCAACAGCAAGGGATGCCTTAACAACTTGGAACTGTTCCTGCATGCAATTACACCAGTCTGCTCTGAATTGACACTCGTACTTGCGATATGAATCTTTCAGTGCGGACGAGATCATCAACACAAAAATGGTTGGCAATGCTGAGAAGATCACCTCTGTTGCAGCCCAGAACCATTGTGAGATGATGCTCTTCTGAATCTCGGCGACTCCCGCGAAATCTTCAAACATGAACCAGAATGTGGTTCTTTGTTTCATCTCCTCCACGATATCTTCTGGCAGATCGTCGATCTCAATCGCGCTCGGGTGTGAGCCGTTGATAATCTGACTTAAATTTCTGTTCATCTGCTCCTGCACCAGCTTTCTCCGTCTGTAACGCATCAGATACCTCCTTGAAAACGTTAAGACGAGGCAGGTGAAAACCAGCGACAAGAAGACAGGCAGCCCGATCCCGAATCCAAACATACTCAGCACGTAGGGGTAATCTTCCATGTTGAAGCTCTTCACGTGAATCATCCCAGAGAACTGATCAATGCTGAAGATCAAGGATTTCCCGTCAGTCTGATCGAAGACGATCATGCTCCCTTCTGGGATCAACCGCTGCGCCTGGCTGGGAGGATAATTCTCTATCACGTTCAGCAGGGCCTTGTACATGGACTCCAGACGAGTGGCATAGACGAGCGAGGTGTTGGGAACGAATGCTGGGCAGAAGGAGGGCAGAAGTTTCGATTGAGACTGGGAAGTGGAAGGAGTGAGAAGTCCGTAAGAGATCACGTTCATGATCCAGGGTCTGAAGATCAAGTAACGGATCGATGAGATCCATACGAATTGCCCAACTTCAGAGCTCACCGTCCCTGGGCCAAGAAGGTTCAGAACAAACCAGTCTTCCAAGGGCTGACTCGCCCCCCTGGGTGGAACAACAGATCTAAAATGTTCTTATCAGTCTGCCTGATATCCACACTCGTGTTGATCATCGAGCTTGGGTTGCCACCAGCGTAGGAGCTTTCGCTCCACGTGGAGGACAAGTTTCCTTGAGCATCTTCGCACAGTCCAGGGGAGAAGGCATCACAATTCTTGCCAACCTGGAATGAGATTGAGCCCGTGCTCGACATGAAGGTGAAGGATTGCCCCAGGTTCCCCGTGCACCAGGGCATCTTGACTGGATCGATGGCCGACCCGCACCGAGGCTGAAACGGCTCTGGGAACATGTCAGCCCGGGAATACCCCGAGCAGATGAGCTGGCAGCACTGCCCCAGAGCGTTGCACGTGCCTGCGGGTCTGAGGCCCGCCATGTCACAATGAGGTTTACAGACGCACTGAGGGCTCTGCGAAACAGTGCAAGCCTCAAGGTTAGTACACCCTGGTATCCTCGGCACATCACTCCGTTTTGCGTACGCTGATTCGGGAGGGCACGGCTGATCCAACGCTATGGCAGTAGCATCGTAGGGAGCGCACAGCCATTCTTTGTCAACGTCAGGGTTTCCGGTGCACATGTACTTGGTCCCATTCAATCCTGGGCAAGGAAGTCAAGAATAGCGTATGAGAGCATCAATTCAACTCACCAGCAACAGGATTGACTACCGGAAGTCCGAAGAAGTCTGTGACATTCAGTCCATTTGCTCTCAGTTGTGAGCTCGAGTGATTGTTGATTCCTCTCTTGCTGAAGGAAGAGATCCTGCTTCTGATGCTGGCAGATTGGGAAGGCTCCCAACGATCGTCTCTCAACAATCGTCTCCGTGCTCCTGTCGTGCTGTTTGTCGTGTTTTGGAGGTCTATATCCTTACAAATCTCTTCGCAAGAGTTGTTGACATATAGTGACCCCTTCGCTGCGGTCAAACAGACTAAATTTGAACTTATCTGCCAGAATCGGACGGAAGTTCGGAAAGGAGTTGTCACGATGAGATCGGCTTCCACGCTCTTAAAAGTGCCAGCTCCTCTTGCAGACACGTCCATGGCTATCAACTCTCCCTTGTTCGCATTGTACTCAAAGTTTGTCGCACTCACGTTGCTCAGTCTAGCCTGAAGGACAGTTCCCTTCAATATGAAGTTGTTCGGTCCAAACTCGAGGCCAAAGTTCATGCTGTCAGCATCCGTCGAAGAGGATCGAACCGTCGTCGTTCGCTCTCCTACTGCGTTGACTGTGATGCTCGGAAGGACAACGAGGTCTGGCACAATAATCTGTATGTTGCAATAGAAGCTGTCATATTTCACGGTTGTAGGCCTCTTGTTTGATAGCGTAATTTGTGCACTTGCACCACAAGTCTCTGCAGTCAACACAATCTGTGGGCTTGTACTGTAAGCAATTTGCAGCTGGGGACTTGAAATGTTCCTTATGAGACCAGATTGCGTTCGGCTGGGCAAGAATCTTATGTAGCAGTTGTCCACTGTGATCTGGACTTCCTGCGCTTGATCCAGCAGGAAATATCTATCAAATTGGCATTGTGAATGACTGGTTCCAGTAAGCAGGATGATGACAAGAGCGATAGCAAAGAACAGCAGGAGCACCACGAATTGAGAGTAGTTCGCTTCGTCCGATGGGAGAAAATTCAGACGTTTGAGGTACAGCGTGAGTTCAGATTGCTTTCGCACAAAGAATGTCAAAACGTTGCCATGTCGCTTTGCAGCCCATCTGGAGAAATAGAAGAAAGCAATTACGATGAGGAAGATGATAGCGGCCAAAGCACTCAAGATGATCAGCTGCTGATTCGAGCTCTTGGAGCATTGTCTCCATCCAAGGCCAGTAGGAGATTGCGGGCAGATCTCATAGGTTGGCCCCGAACTGGTTCCTATCATGCACTTGCCTCCTTGCTTTGAGCAAGAACCCGGACACCATCCACATCCGCTCTCAGCGTTACACTTGGAGCAAGGGTTCGCGTCTGTCTGAGGGGTATGGTAACATCTTATCGCGGGCCCGACGACTGTGTTGATGGTGGCAGTCGATGTCCCCATCAGAGGAGGTTTGTGAGCAGTCGCTTTCAAAGGATCGAGACATGCAGGATATGCAGCTCCACAGACGTGCTCACCACTGCAAGAACCATAGTTGTAGTTGTCAAAGATCTTGACAATGAACGGAACATAGCCTTGATACCTCGGATCTGCATCATAGAACAGTCCTTGCATAAGGAAATTGAGTTCACTCAAAGTTCCGTCGACTTGTAGCTGAAGCAACTGATCGGAACCTCTGAATTCTGTATACCATATGGTGGTGAAGATTTGAGTCTGCCTTAAAAGGAAGGATCCAGCAGATGCATGTTTCTTCGGATCATTGCCGACTTGCAGTATCAGAGTCATATTTCCATACGGAACATCATTCACATCCACGTCACTGAACTGTATTGGGTTCACATGATTGATGGGCACAGCTGACCCGTTTGGATTTGCAACACACTGCGGACTCAAACCTTGCACGGCGCTGACATCATAACGCTGAAAATCGAAAAAGCATCTTGAGCCTTTCTGATATGCCTGCACTGAGGTGGGCGATTGAATGACAGGATTATCGTTCACTCCAACCACCCTGATTCCCATCGTTGCCTTCGCAACCAGACTTGAGTTGTAACATCCATCTGTGTATCCTTGGTCATTCACGATGATATCGAGATTGTCATAGCCGTAGAAATTTGGTTTCCCTTGATATGAGAAGTATAGCTGTTCAAGAGCTGTTTGAAGCGTTGCGCGAGTTGCCAATATATGCATTTCCGAGACATTCCTCATACAACTTAATTGATTGTCACATGGCTTGACAAACCCACCTGCTGTTATTGGGATGTAGGACGCGTTGGTCACAAACGTTAGTTGGGATGTAGGAAAAAGCGATCTTCCAGGGGGGGGATAAAAAGAGAGCATGCCATTCACAACAAAGAAGGAGACCAGCAGCTGGCCTGCGCCTCCTGAACAAACTTCCGGGACTCGACAAGCACATGTTCCAGTACTACAAAGGCAAGGACGACCACAATAACATACTGAAGAACTCGATTGTGGACAGCAGAAACTTCGAGATCCTTGAACTTCCAGCGCTTCTTGAGAGTCTACATCATAGATCCATAAGAAGTCTGGAGTGATGTAAAACCTGGTGTCCTCGTCGATATCTATGTACTCCCGCAAGCCAGGTCGGCAATGAGTCCAATACTCAGTTGATGTTGGACTTAATGAAAAGCAGAGAGCATTGATGCTGTTGTTAATCGGCAAGATTGCATAGTCTTGCACGATCGTATCTGGACTTTTACCTCCGTCAAAGTGCTTGACAGTCAAGTTTGACATGACTCTCCGCCCAATCAAGGGTCGATCATCAACAGCTTTGACGACAACATCAACTTGGTGAGCGTCTTCCAGTGGGTTGATATTCGCAAACTTTGAGCCAGGTGGGTAGTCACCTCTCGCACCATTATCGTTGACCGAGAATTTGATTGTCTCGCTTGAACCAAATTCTGTGTTGAAATTGGGATCAGGCAGGTATGTCACCAACGAAAGAGCTTTGTTCAGAGCCACCAATGTTCCTTTGATGGAAATGAATTTGTTTCCGGTGATATCCAAGCACAACCCGCAAGACATGGGCATGGTTGCTCTTTGAGGATATATGGGACCATATGCTTGATTAGGAATGAAGCCGTATTTAGTGTCTTGCGAGACAAGTTTCGTGCCATCAGAACATTGAGGCTGGAACTGACATCCATTTCCAAACACTGGACCAGAACTGACAACGTTGCCTTGAGAATCGTAGAAGATGTTGTACAAACCTCTTCGTTCCTGATTCCAGACCAAATACTCAATCTCATTCTTCCCTTCACCCTGCAGGTATGTCTCGTTGAGGTACAATCTACCATGAGTGCATGATAAATTGACGGTCAATCTGGGAAGGAAAACAGACTTGTCAGTATTCCCCAAGGAAGTGCAAGTCTTCCTCACTTCATTTGATCGTACAAGTAGTCTTGAGAATCAGGATCTGTGATATAAAAACCTGGAGATACAAATTGACTGCCAGACTGCGACCCGGTGACACTGGCAACGAAGTTCTGAGGGATGTCCTCCATGGCTTCAACGACTGCAACGATGTCAGCTTCAGTACACAGCCAAGTCAACCCCTACCAGTCGGCCCGTTGGCCTTTGGCGGATGATTGACGGCATGGACTCTGATCGGCACGCTGATACTCGCTGTCCTCGGGTCATACACTCCGCCTCCTGGTTGAAAGTCAGTTTTGCTATGCACAATGGAACAGAGTTGAACCTGAATTTCCTAGATCGTTTGCTGTGATGCTGAGCACGTCCAACGTATCAGCTCCAAGTACGAAAGTGGCTGGATCCCTTTGCGATACTGCAAGCAACCTCAGCAAGGACTATGAAATCTAGTCATCAAGTGACAACCTGGTGGGCGATAAAGCCTGCTGAAATAAGGGTTGGCAATGTATTCTATGGAGTTTAATGCCAGGTTCACATCGGACAATGGGCCAAACAATGAAATCTCGGAGCTGCCATATGAAGAAAGCGAGATTCGATCAAATTCAGTTTTGAGAGTAGTCCCAGTGACAGCATATGCGGCTGATCTACAGTAACTTGAACCAGGACCAGCATAATGACATGCATGTCCATCAAGTTTTGGAATAGGATTTGGTGATATGATGATGGTGGTATTTTGCTGTGAAGGATCTGTGCTGGAAAAAAATGGCCCACACTTTCCACTTCCTCCTTGTAAGCAACCACACGGGGAGCCAAGGTTATATCTATCACAATCAGTGTCCACCGAGCAGACTTGCGATAGATCCACGCAACATCTGCACGTCACTCCGGGTATACATTGCTCAGGGATACTGTTTGAGCAGTCCTAGAGACAATGTAAGTCGTCTTTCTCAAAACAAAGTAAGTTTTTTCAACCGTGTTTGTTTGACATGCAACACCAAATGTGAAGCTGTTTGGAGATGGAAAGTATGCCATGCCTCCACATGTCCTTGAGAACAAGCATCATTTCATGTTTTTTTCACGGATGTCATGTTGTTTACCTATCGAGGGAGTTGATGGCCTTGGGAAGAGCATCTACAAACCCCTGACTTTGAAGACTTCTATTCACATACAGGACAACACTCGATTCCACAGTTTCTTGGCAAACGCAACCTTGTTCTTTTCCTGTGGGGCAGGCTGCTTCTCCTAAATTTGAATATTCGCAGACCTGAGAATATGGCAAAACTATATCTGATACATGTGTTTGAAAACCATTGAGATATCCTGTGTTATCAAAATATGGAAACACTCTGCTCAAATCATGACCATAGCGAAAAGAAGATACTGTGAGATAACTGTTCAAGCAAAGAAATCAGCAATCACAGCATGTCTGGAGATCAAGGGTTCAGCACCTTGTAGTATTTGTGCTTTCCAGCCACAAATTTCGAGTGTAATCCAATTTGAGACTACCATGCTTCACTGAAAGTGAAACTTGTATCTAAGGACAAGTCACTTGGAGGTAAAGTCCAGTGATTCGTTACTTGGTTGATGTATACAGAACTAGAAGAGTTGCTCATCCAATTCCTGCATCATGTTGTTAAGTGAATAATTCGAATTTCTTTCGTGAGTTACCTCAAAGCAAGATTTGAGGTTATTTTTTCATTAACGTCCACATCATGCACTGATACTGCTGACGCATTTCCCTGAGTATGAAACATTAATGGTGTTTTAAACAAACATTTATGGTGTTTTAAACAAACATTGATCAAACTCGAATGACACTCACCTGCTGGCCTTCTTGCATAGACAACTCAGGTTGCAATAGCAAAAAATACGGAGCGTTGTTCACGGCAACAATCGTGATGCTGACATTGGAGGTGGACACTTTGGCAAAGCCATCATATGACGTGTACCCCTTTGAATAAGACCATGTCAGAAGGCTTTCACGAGATTGAGTGACTTGCAACCTGATCAGATGCAAAAATTTCAATCAATTCCAACTGTCCATTCGTTTGCGTGTTAAAGTATTTGACGGAGCTCGAGGACATCAAAGAGTTCACCCCCAAAGTGTACTTCAGAGACTGCACAATCAAATCACATCAAGAGATGAACATACATGCGAGAAAACCTTGAGGGCATTATTTAGATCATTCAAGTTGGCCATCAGTCGCAAAGAGGACGAACTTTGGGAAATAATTTCGAGATTGGTTCTTGATGACAAGCTGATTGTTCCTTTGTATGTCGACAATATTACGTCAAGTTGATGGCATTCGAAGTTTGATGAAGTACAAGTCTCATAGAGATCTGGGTCTGTCACTGACAAGCCCGTTATCATAAGTGAATTATCTGAACCTTCATAAACAAAAAATTGTCCGAAATTGCATTCGGGGAGCTGTGTAAATAGGTCAATACCGGGTCAACGCAGAAAATGACAAGTCTACACCTCACTTCCACCATTGCAAGCAGATGGTTGGCTGTACAACGACGACTTCATCTCTGGCGGATTGTCGATTGCCAAAATATTCAAAAACACTGGAAATGTCGAATTATCTGGAAGACTGATGTTCAAAACTTCATAAGGACGGATTTTTGAAGATGCGCTATTGTAATATTCAGACTTCAACCGAAGAGAATTTTGATATTGATTCGGCTTATATTTTACATTCAGGATTGTCGAAGAGATTTCAGATAGCTTCCCACTGATTTCAAGTTTAAAAGGAGAAATATCATTCACTACGACAAACTGGGTGAGAACAATCATTGTCGGACAGCTTGTCGATGATGACAAGTAAGGTGCAATGTAGCTGCACAACGTATCTGACGAGAAACTGCAACTTTTTTGTACTTGAAATCCATCTACTGTCACGTTGCCCGATTCCTCGACCCATCCACACTTACTTGAAATGTTGTATACATCCAACACCCCGTAGTAGACGAGCAAGCTCAACGCATAAGAGCTAGAATCTGAACTTGCCTTCAAACCAATGCCAATCCCAGTCCAGGTATCCTCTAGAGCATATATCATGGGCAATTGAGCATTTGAATTGCAGGAAAGCGTATTTGGGTCTGTTGGACATCCTAATCTCTCTCCTGCAGGGACAACTATGACGGGATTCGGTGACTGATGCTTACAACCAACCGATTCTTGGGGTGAATCATAGCATTGATACAGAGTCTGTCCATTCCAAATAAGATCAGACGAGTACGACACTGATGAAACAAGGATCTTCGATGGAGCGATCAATTGAAAGATCAAGATCCACAGGAGTAAGCTCCTTCTGACCATCGCAGTATCTAAGAGCTAGCAGGTCGCTCGACAAGCACAAATTTCAATACTGGAGCTCAACTCGATCATCGTGCTGTATGGAGCGACTGGACTATCATTCATGAGACTGGCTGTGAAGCGAGTCAGTACCAAGGGAAGGCGAGGCCTCAACAATCCTGCATGAGCAGCATTCTCAGCCTCAGCCTCCGGTCTCTCCCCCGATGCCGGCGACCCGATCCTGCATTGCGCGCCTCTTGGCACCCAAGGTTTCTCCAACCGTTACTCAGCGTTTCTACTGTTTGTAACGGCCGAGCCAAGTCTCGGAGCCGCTGAGCCCGGCCGCTTCATTGGGCCCGGGGGGGTGACTTGCAGCGGCGAGCAGGCCTTGGACCAAGTTGACTGAAGTTCCGATCCTGGACGGCGGCGGATGACATGCTGCGTTTACTGAACTTGCGGTAGTACCGTACGGGCCCCGCCTGCCAGTGGGTCGAAGCCTTGAAGCGGGCGCCGGGGCCCGCTCCGACCCGGGCCTCCGAGGCTCCGTCCACTCCTGCGTACACTCACGTTATTATTAGTGTGGGGAGGAGGGCCCGACAGCACGTGCCGCGGATGATCCGGGAGGAAGAGGAAGCGGGAGGAGAGGTGGGGGGTAGGGGAGAAGAGGAGGAGGAGAAGAGAAAGATCATGGGGGCCAGGGTGAGGTGGGAGGAGAGAAGTGGTAGAGAGGAGAGGAATGCCAAGAGTGGAGGGTTGAATGGCAGGATAATGGTTTGGGAGGCAATCTAAAGCTGAGTAGGATAACATTCGTTCCGATCGCTAACTTGCTTGTGTTTAAGGTATTCCTTCAGTGCTAAGATGGAACCTGCTCAAGGAGTGCCGGACCAAGCTGAACCGCTTGATCCAAAGATCAAGAAGCAAATCGAATTTTACTTCTGCGACTCTAACCTGCCCAAGGACAGATTTTTGTTGTCAAAGACGAAAGAGACACCCGAGGGATGGGTGAGCCTTGAGCTCATCGCCAGTTTCAAGAAGATGCGTGAACTAGGAGCGACCACCTCGAAGCTTGCTGTGGCTGCTGCTGCATCGGACTTCTTGGAGGTGGATCAGGAAGTCACCAGGGTGCGCCGAACTACTCCACTGCCTGAAACGGACGTGACTATCCCACGATCTTTGCATGCCAAGGAATTCCCTGGAGACACGGGCATTGAACAGCTCGAGTCCTTCTTCTCTGGCTACGGAACCGTTCTGAGCGTTAGATTGCTCAAGGCGGACAAGAAAGCAAACGCTGATTCCGATACTGCTCCGATTTCAGCTTTCATTGAGTTTAGCAGCAAGGAAGAAGCTGAAGCAATCTGCCAGAAAGAAATCTCGTTTGCGAATGCAAAGCTTGAAATGGTCTCAAAGGAGGAGTACCTCAAGCAGAACCCTTCTGCCAGCAGTGAGAATGAGAAGGCGAAGGATGGAAAGAAAAAAGGCCACGATGGCAAGGGCGGTGATAAGAAAGAAAAGAGCGAGAAGAAAGAAGATACGTACAAAGCCTATCCCAAAGGAATTTTCATCAAGATTGAAGGAATTGGAGAAGGAGCGACCCTGCATGACATCAAAGATACATTCAGCAAATACGGCAGTGTCAAGTTTGTTGAGTTCAAGGAGGTGACGCAAATCCATTCCATTTGTTTGCCGCTGGATTGAGTTTGCTTGTTTCAGGGTGATACTGAAGCTTGCATTCGCTTCGATACTCCAGATGACGTAATTTGATTTCATCTTGAGCCTCCCTATCGGCAGCCCAATGCTTGTGATTTGATCCTTGTCTTTGTTTTACCAGGCCTCGGAGGCGGTCAGGGGAGAGAAGAACGCAGGAACTGAGATATGTGGCTCTGCGATCACTGTATCTGCCATCACCGTACGAGTCACATGAATGATCTCGCAACCTGATGATTGTCCAGGGTGAGGAAGAAGACCAGAAGCTCGAGGAAATCAAGCAGAAGCAGGTAGGGGAGAGCTTAGCCGAATCTTCATACACGATGAGGGGAAAGGTTTTTACTGACGTCTGTCCTTCAGGTTGACAAAATGAATCGATTTGGAGATAAGGTATTCCTGATTCCTCCTTGTCTTAACCCTCTGACGCCTTTTTTCAGGGTGGTCGCGGTGGTCGCGGTGGTCGGGTAAGCTTCAGAGGTATATGTGCTAACGCCCTGCTTACTGGAAACTGCCAGGGCGGTCGAGGAAGAGGACGAGGGCGCGGAGGTGGACGTGGGGTGATGCGAGCTTGATGTTGTTGTTCATGGCTGACGTCCATAGCAGGGTTCTCGAGAAAAGCGACAGCGCGAAGGCAGCGACGATGAGAACGAAAGGCCTACGAAGAAAGCTTGAAATAGGATGAAGCAACAGCACTGCAGAGAGCCTCCTGGATTGTATCTGGCGTCTTGTCACAAATGGTTGGACCGTAGAAGTTGACTGGTTTCTGCCACGTTCTTGTTCGGAGCCAAACCTTGTTTTGCATACAGAAGAACATGAATAAACGTGTAACTTTAATCGCAGAGCATCATTGTAGTTGACGAAGTTTACTTGGTTTGGAAGATATTCTGTAGTTCTGGTCATCCACCACAGGAAGTAGGAAGTAGTGAGCTCTCACCTGAACGAGCTCCCGTGGAACCCTCTTCGCCGCAAGGTCCAGCACTTCAACTTCGCCTGGGGGCATTGACGTAAGTCATCACATGCTAGGTGACATCCTCGCAATCATACTCATGGTCAGGCGCCATCCGACAGCCCCGAGATTCTCCTCTGCCTATCGAGGAGCAGGAAGTCATGCCAACGGCATGTCAGCGAGTTCGTTTTCACTTGTTTCAGCGACTTCGCCCCGGGGATTGGAATCGTGTCCTTGCACAGGCACCAATTGATCGCAACCTGGCAACAACAATGAGCCAAGTCGAAGAGACCCAGTTGCTCCTGAGCTGCTGCGGCCTCAAATCACCTGCGCGATTGTCTTGCCTCGCTGGTCTGCCACTTCTCGCAGGCACTGCTCGGTCTCATCGTCAGGCACCACAGGAGAGGATCCGCATGACCTCAAGCAGCGGCGCCACTTCCTCTACCCTCTCTCTGAAAACAAATCCCCGCGGGCCCTTGGGCAGGTCGTCCTTGCTCTGGTACCTGCCGGACAGGAGCCCGAGGCCCAGGGGACTGTATGCGATCATGGCGATGCCGAGCTCGTCGCATACCTGATGAAGCATCACCCCCCTTCCGAGTGAGACGGAGACAAACGTACTTCCTTCACCTCCTCCCCAACAGTCCTGCTCAAGAGAGAGTACTGGATTTGATTGGACGCCAGGGGGACACCTGACGCGTCGCCTCAGTCAGTCAAGTAAGGCAAGGGTGAAGGTACCGTTATCTTGGAGGAAGGCATGAATCTGAAGGTTGGACTCAGTCACAGGCAGCAACAGAGAGGGAGGGAGGGAACTTTTCTCAGCTGTTGAGGCCCGTAGTTGCTCACTCCGACAGCTCTACACCGCCCGGACTTGTAAAGGCTGACAAGACTCTCCCACAAGACACGCTGAAGGAAGAAACGTCAGCCTCGGCAGGGCAAGTTCCAAGTGCACCCTACTGCACACGTCCCACCTCCTGCCAGGGGAAGTAGTTTGCAGTGGACCAGTGGATTTGTCCGATGTCGACCGGCCTCCTCAGGCGTTCGGCGCTCTCATCGCAAGCTTTCTCCATGCTGCTCACACCGTCACGCCTCACACACATCACAAGAGGCTGAAGGGAACGTTCCTGCCCACGGTCAGACGCCAGGGGTAGGAAGCGAACTTGGTCCCGATGTTGGGATACACTCCTCCGTTCTGCCTCGCATACTCCTCCATGAACTTCCCCAGGAGCTTTTCGCTGTGTTTGCTCGTCAGAAGGGAGAGTTGTTCACACTGGCACAACCTCTGCCCATTCAGCCTGCCTGTCCCGTAGGAATCTCCCGTGTCAAACAACCTGATCCCCTTGCTGTGCGGAGGATTCGGAGTGAGGGACGAGCAAGACATCGAAGCTCCTCTACCTGACGCACAGGTTGAACACTTGCTGAAGCTCGTCGTCCATCTCCTCGTTGTACCCCCACTGAGCGAGAATCACAAGGAAGGCCCCGATCATCGGAGCAGCACTCACCAACAGCTGGTTGCCCCAAGACCACGTTCCGATCCCCATCTCTGAAACCACCAAATCCCCGATCTGCAAACGATCCATCAACAGAAATTCACCAAGCACCACTCCTGTCCTCTTGCCTTTCTCTCCTTACACATGGCTGCTCCTGGTTTCCCCTTCATGTTCTCCTCTTTGTCTTTCCCCTTTCCGAAGAACCCATCAAGAAAGCTCATCCTCACCCCAACAACATTTGGAGCTTTGTTGGGTCGAGGAAGTGAGGGGGGAAGCAGAAATCCTGAGATTTCACGTCAGTACCTTCATGAACGAAGGTGATCAAAGTGGTAGATGATGATGACGACGACGGTGATGCGGAAGAGCGTTCATAGAGCTATCCGTGAATTCATGCCATGCTCTCTCGAGAGACAACAACTACCCAAACCATGTTTCATCATCTCAAACTTGACAAGTTCATCTCAGCACGTGGACGATCTCACTGTCACATGTTCTGATCTATCTCAACATTGTCAGTTCACCTTCTGTGCAGCTCAGCATCTTCACGCCAATGGCCAGCATGAGCGCCACACGCGCTCTAGACGCCACCATCGTTTAGATCCCACAGACCCCCACCCACCCATCCCACTGTCAGACCTACCCTCACTTGCTCCATGGATTTGAGTAGAGAGACCCCTACTAGAATACAACCCCACCCCATCAGCGAGATGAACCTGGAGGAAGACTGCCCGACAATGTTGCAGGACCGCTCGGGCAGGTGATGGCGAGGAGCGAAACATGAGAAAGCGAGACGAGCATGGCACGAGAGGAGAGGGATGACAAGGACAAGAGGACGCAGCCATGAACGCAGGGAGAGCAGAAGATGAGAAATCAAGGGAGGAAGAATGAGAACAGGTGGTCCTGCTCGAAGAGTTTCAAGCAAGTTTACGGTCAAGTGTCGACTGACATCTCCCTCACAGCCATCGCGTTTCTGCTCCTGGGCATCTCCAACAACGTCACCTTCTGCATCGTTCTTGCCATAGCCAAGGATATTGAGAATGGTAAAAGGGCGAGCTAGTAGCATCCAAGAGGACTGACCATCATCGTAGGTGGCGTAGGAGTTGTCTTCCTCGCGTTGCAGGTCTACCTGATAGCTTTCCTTGATTTGCCATTTCCATGCTTGTAAGTAAGCTGCAGCTCCCTGCGTTGCTGATCAAGACCACGGGGCCAACATGGATGCACTTGTTGGGTTATCGAACCCGAACGATCGTTCAAGCGACGGCAGCAAGCAGCGGACTCATGCTGATAGCCTTGTCCACCTTCGTCGAAGATGACATGAAGCGACTTGCCATCCAGCTCCTGGGTGTTTCCTTGTGCTCAGTACAGAATGCCGTCGGAGAGCCGTCCTACCTCGCACTCTCGTCGGTGTGCTTACGTCCTGCGAGTGCCCTGGCAGCTTGGAGTACGGGGACTGGGCTGGCGGGTCTGTTGGGTACGAGAGTGGAGGAGGCGCGGGACGAGTTGACGTGGCACAGGGTTTGCGTGGGTGATGCTGCTCAAGATGCTTAGCTTGTCGCTGCTGCGCGTCTGCCTCTTGAGTCTGGTGTTCCCAGCTCAGCTCCTTGTTTCCTTCTTCTTCATCCTACCGTCACAGACACACGGTAACGGCAGACACGCGAGATGCCCTCTGTTGTTCTCTTCCTCTCCTTACTCCTTGTTGTTCTCTCCCTCCTTCCCACTTCCTTCATGTTCTCTCCCTTCTCCTTTACTCTCTTTGCCAGCAGGTTACGCCAGCGCTGAGATCGAAGAGAGTCAAACTCGCGATGAGACGGCTGCGGAGGTCAGCGAGACAACCCGGACGAGAAGGATGAGTGCGAGGATGAATCAGCGACTAACATTCTCATCTCCTCCCCCCGAGACAAGTACGTCCCATCATCTGACTCCAAGGAGGCTTCCTCCCCTTCTCACTCACCACTAGCCCTGAAGAGAGTCTCTTGGTCTCCTCAGAGGATCTCGCTCCGACCAAGTTTCATCCCCTCCAACGCTTCAAGTTCGCCATGTCGCTCTGGAGATTCATGATCCCCTTGTTTCTGGTCTATCTCGCCGAGTACAACATGCAGGTGACTGCTCCGTGTGATGGCGCGATGACGAGCTATTGAGCTAAAGAAGCGTTCCCAGTCGGGAGCATGGAGTGCGATAGGTTTTCCTCTCGACGATGAGTCCGCCAGGAATCAATTTTACAGGTGTGCCGTTGAGCTCTAGTTCGTCTCTCAGCACACAACAGGACGTCGAACATCATGTATCAATGCGGCGTCTTCGTCTCCCGGTCTTGCGGGCAATTCTTCACCATCAACCTCTACGTGCTGTGGGTGGTTCCTCTCCTGCAGGCACACGAGCTCGCTGGACTTCCTCATCCTGCCTTCTAACTTGTCAACGACCAGTTTCTCCTCCTCGCATTCTTCATCGTCAACGCTCTCTTTGAGTTCTGGTGAGTCTTGGCGCCTGTCCGAGGAAGGTCACAGACCTGTCAAGGTACGATTGGTCCCTCCTCTCCATGTGCTTCGTTTCGGGCCTCTTCGGCGGGACCGTCTACTTCCATGGCTTCTCGCTCCTGTCAAAGACGACTGAGCATGGTCGGGGTGAGCTCGTTCCCTTCGCCGCCTGACGTGCCTGTGCAGCGAGGAAGGAGCTTGCGATGTCTTCAGTCTCCATGGCCTCTGACATCGGTGTCACGATCGCTGACTTCACGGGCATCCTCGTTCAGGTCAGTCACCCTCCAGACGCGATGGGAGTGATGAGTAGCAGGGCTGCATCTATCGCTTCCATGGCATCCCCGGCGCCACCTTCCAGTGTCTCTCGTCTCGATGACACAGGGCGAGGCAGCAGGAAAGGAGGCACTTGTTAAACTTCATTAGCTGCTGTAAGTTACATTCTCTTCTCTCCACGGCTTCACGGTTGGCTGCCAAAAGCTGGAGGTGGTGTGGCGAAATGGAGGATTCTTGTCTGCACTCCGCTCGACGACGTGCCCTGCAGCTCCACCTCTCACGAGCAGCCGCAAACAACATGAAATCAACGACTCACCTGGCTCCCCCTCGCACTCTGACCCTCCGAGCTCGCCGTCCTGCCACGTCATCAGACGAGACTCTCTCCCTCATCGACGTCACACCGAGCTGCTCGTCGAGCCTCAGCCTGTAGGTTCTTGTCGTTCACCCAGTCTCCTCGGTCCCTGCTGGAGCCAGCAAACGAGCTGGTGCTGCGGTCCTCGTCAGGTGACTTGATGCGGAGAGGATCTCGTTCACCTCCTGACCGAGGCATTGCTCCGCATGCTCCGGAAGCTGCTCTGAGAGTGTACGGAGGAGGCCGAGAAGCTTCGCTCGGTGGACACTTCCCTCCCGACATGCGCTCGTTGCCTCGACGAAGTCTCGATGGCTGAGATGAGCTCGTTGTACGCTACGAGGCCCCTCCCCTCATGGTCCGCGATCTGCTCCAGGAACGAGCACTCAGCCTTGCTCAGCGGCACGTTGTGCGTCTTCAATGCTGTGATGAGCTCCTGAACGTCGGAGGGAACGAGTCAGAGAGAGCAGCAGGCAACGAGCAGGGAGAGAAGGAGGAAAGGGTAAGGCACCGAGCAGCTGATGCTTCCGCTCCTGTCCATATCGTACTTTCTGAAGATCTTCAAACTCCGTGAGTGATCGCATGGCGGGCAGACTGGCTCCCACCTGTCGCAACCGGAATCGATTGCCTATACCGCTCTCGGCGATCTTTGAGTACAGTGATTGAACGGAGGGGTCATCTGTTCCCCAGCTGCCTTTGAACTTGCTCGAAGGCCCTTGAGCCTGCAAGCAGGGGGTGAGGGAGGAGGGTCGTAACGTCCAGCTCTTACCTTTCGCAGCTTCGAACCTGTTCCGAACCCGAGGTGACTTTGAGCCTTTTCAGGGTCGAAGTACTCTGAGAGATGCTTCAGCGAGCTCTCAATGTCTTCCCTTGTCACTTTCCCATCGACTGCGAGCAAGTAAGACCATCCAAGAAAGGTCATCAGGCTCCATACCGCTAGCTTTCCGAAATATCGCTTGAGCATCTGATTCGCTTAGGATAGCATCCACTTCTGTGATTGCTTGTTTGAACTCCGACTCATCCAGCTGAACTTTGATTCATTTTCTTGAACATTTTCATCAGAAAGATACCTTCCGATCACCGACTGTCTGACACAATTTTTTGAGGAGCAAGGGATCGTTTTGCATCAACACGTATGACACCCTGTCCTGCTTGTGCTTGTCTCTCATCTCAATCGTTTCTCCTTTCATCAGCACATGTGAAATTTGCATCAGAATGAATCGATTTGTTACCTTTGTGGTCAACAAAGACTTCTATGAGCTTTTGCAATGTGATTCCACCTCTGTCGATCTTCAATTTTGGCAATCTACAACCCCCCATGTCAAATCGAGTTCCAAAGCTTGCATACAACGATGATATCACATCTTTTCAAAGTCGCTGTCGCCAACGGAGACTCCAATTCTGTGAAGAGTTTCTTTGAACTCCTCAGGCTATCTCTCTGGTCAGCATTCCCCCGGTCTCATCGCTTGGTTCACCTTCAAATGCTTCTCTTGCTTTCCATTCGCATCCGCTGAGAAAGCCTTCTTCAACTCAGGCAGGTTTGCCTTGATCGCATTCCTGAGCTGAACGTCTAGCTTTGACCACTTGGAACGCTATCCCAGTGTCAGGATGACCCCGCAGGCGACAAACAGTCGCACTCTAGCAGTCGACGGGTTCTCTTGGATATGCAGCAGGTTCTTCTGGTCCTCCCTCCTCTAAAAGGTGAAGGTCAGAGGGTCATGGCGCAAGTCTGTTGCACCTGAGGGAAGGCTCTCCGCATGCTTCCGATCCTATCTGCTGGGGTTGCCTTCTTCTCGTTGATTTCTTCAGCTGAAGATACCGTCTGTGGAGGTGTGCTGTACCACAAAGGTTGGTTCTCAATAAAGCAGCAAAACGACGTCATCACCAGCTCTCGTCGCCTTCTAGTTTGTGCGAATCACCAGACCTATGAGAAACTTTTTGAAGGAAGACTCGTCAGTAACGTGTCAAACAAAGTTGAATGCACAAGCTGCATGTCACCAGGAAAGTCTTCAAAGTTGATGAGCTGGCGAGCAACTGACGCTGGCTCCATGTTCATCCTCCTCGTCAGCTTCTCTTTCTGGCGCAAATATTCTCAGCTGATCATCTTGAAGAGAAGTCAAAGACCTCAGCTGTCGTGAGAACTCCGTCCACATTCCTGATACGGTCGACATGCGCTATCCCATGCTCCACTCGTTTCTTGCATACGGCACGAGAGTCCATGTGGGCTGGCAGCAGTCCAGACTCTGAGTGGAACTCATGGAGATGCCAATCGACATCGAGGCAGTACCGATATGAGAGGCTTGCGCGGTCTCTTGGATCGACTTCGGCATCTTCCTGGAAGTTTTTGTTATCTGCAAACAAGAGCTCAGCGCAAGAAGCTGCTCATGGTAAGGAGAAACAACATCGTCATGTTGATGCGGCAGATCATCTAGGGAGTCAATGACTGGTTCCTGTGAGAATTGAGAAGCTTCTTTCCATATTGACGAGATCTGCACGAGACTTTCACTTCCTGCATTTCCATGGTAGTTCACCTCACCTCATCGTCCTTGAGAGAGATTCCTATTTCTTCCAATCCTTTCCTGAATTCCTTCTCCAACGTCACATGGAGTCCTCCATCCATCCTGCAAGCTTCACCTTGAAGTTCAAGAGACCGTCGCCGTCCCTGTCCACACTCGAGAGTGCACTTCTCAGCTTGTCTATGTTCTTCTGCAAGTCTTCGATGTCTTCACCAGCAGAGCTCATGTTGTGGCAACCAGGCTCTCACAAGGCTCGATCAGGAGAATGTCTTTAACTCAACTTGCTCTGTTCTCCACTCCTCTGCTCTGCTCTGCTCTGCTCTGCTCTGCTCTGCTCTGCTCTGCTCTGCTCTGCTCATACCAAGCTGCTCTACACGCCCTACTTCGGCAACGGAAGCCCTCGAATTTCAATTTCGAAGAAGGGTGGGTCCTTTTGAATATATTTCGGAGGATATATGGTGGGGTAGGGTGGTCCAGTGCTACCAGTAGGAAAGGAAAGATTGTTGATAGGAAAGGAAACATGAAATGTTCCTGCTGTTCAGGAGGGAGGGAGCGGATGGGGGAGGGAGGAAGGGAGGGAGGGAGGAAGGGAGGGAGGAGGGAGGGAGGGAGGGAGGGGAGGGAGGAGGGGAAGGACGAGAGAGAGAGGAGGAGGAGGAGGAGGAGGAGGAGGAGGAGGAGGAGGA